AGAGACGGGGTTTCACCATGTTGACCAGGATGGTCTCGATCTCTTGACCTCGTGATCCACCCGCCTCGGCCTCCCAAAGTGCTGGGATTACAGGCGTGAGCCACTGCACCCAGCCAGAAAACATATTCTTTTAAAATTCGAGCAAGTATAATAGCCTGAGAAATAAATGTCACTCTCTAGAGTTGTTCAGTGCACAAGCTGCACAACTTTACATGAGTCTTCAGTAGAGGTTTCCATTTTATGTGAGGTCTTGTAAACTAGGAGATGATTTTGCCAGTGGTGTGGCAATAGTACAGTCTGCCTTTCTTCCCTGATTCTGTTGCACTGGTCCTATTTACAAAGTAACACAAAAATTAAAAGGCCTGGCTGGGCACCTGGCTCACGCCCGTAATCCCAGCACTTTGGGAGGCTGAGCTGAGTCTATCACCTGAGGTCAGGAGTTTCAGACCAGCCTGAGCAACGTGGTGAAACCCTGTCTCTACTAAAAATACAAAAATTAGCCAGGCATGGTGGTGGGTGCCTGTAATCCCAGCTACTTGGGAGGCTGAGGCATGAGAATCGCTTGAACCCAGGAGGTGGAGGTTGCAATGAGCTGAGATGGTGCCATTGCACTCCAGCCTGGGTGATAGAGTGAGACTCTGTCTCAAAAAAAAAAAAATTAAAAGGCTTTATCTTAGAATGGATTATGGGATCAGAGTTTTGTCGGGACTCCTAATTACCATATGCTCTCTATTCTAGCATCTTCCATTGCTGTCCGGACAGTCATTGCAAGTTATCTATTTATATTATAGTAGGCAATTTCCACATTTTTGTAGCTGTCCCATCCATTTCTGTAGCCAAATATTCTGAAGCTTCAAGAAGGAGATCTTTGGCTATCTCCAACCCAGTCCCATTTTTGCCCTTTGAATTGCTTCTGTCTGCTGTAATTTTAGCAATTATTATCTCCTTATTATCTGAGGTCTTTACAAAAGTCCATGGAACATTCACCTCTGCCTTTGAGCTCATGTTCCTGGTCATAGGAAGAGGAGCACCTTTATCTTAAAGAACCTCTTCTCAGCCTAAAAAAATCTCTGACATCTTGCTGCTCTTTGCATTTTCCAGGGTCCACACTTGTGATTCTCAATGGAGAGTGAAAACACCGATTCATAATGAAAACCAGCCCCCGTCGGCCATTGATTCTCAAGAGACGGCGGCTGCCCCTTCCTGTTCAAAATGGCCCAAGTGAAACATCAGAGGAGGAACCTAAGAGATCCCCTGCCCAACAGGAGCCTAGTCAAGCACAGGCCTCCAAGGAAGTGGCAGAGTCCAGCTCTTGCAAGTTTCCAGCTGGGATCAAGATTATCAACCACCCCACCATGCCCAACACCCAAGTAGTGGCCATCCCCAACAATGCCAATATCCACAGCATCATCACGGCACTGACTGCCAAGGGAAGAGAGAGTGGCAGTAGTGGGCCCAAGAGATTCATCCTTATCAGCTGTGGGGGAGCCCCAACTCAGCCTCCAAGACTCCAGCCTCAAATCCAAACCAGCTGTGATGCCAAAAGGACAGAAGTGACCATGGAGACCTTGGGACCAAAACCTGCAACTACGGATATAAATCTTCCTAGACCACCTGGAGCTCTTTGTGGGCAGAAACAGGAGAGCCGTGGTATGTGGTCTTCCAGGCAAAGGGGTGAGGGAGCCCAGCCTTTCCTCTCTAGTGGCAAGGTCTGTAGTCTGTCTTGATGCTTGCAACTGTCAGGCATCTGGCCAAGCATGGTGGCTCACGCCTGTAATCCCAGCACTTTGGGAGGCCGAGGCGGGTGGATCACTTGAGGTCAGTAGCTCGAGACTAGCCTGGTCAACATGGTGAAACCCGTCTCTACTAAAAATACAAGAAGCTTAGCTTAGGGTGGTGGCGTACACCTGTAGTCCCAGCTACTCTGGGGGCTGAGGCATGAGAATTGCCTCACCATGTTGCCTAGGCCAGGAAGAGGAGGCTGCAGTGAGCCGAGATCCACCACTGCACTCAATCCTGGGTGACAGAACAAGACTCTGTCTCAAAAAAATCAAAAACAAAATAATCAGGCATCTAGCCTGAGCCAATGAAAGTGTTGTCTTCATCCTGAAAGCTTGACCCAGCTCCTTTGGGCACTGTTGAAATGGTTCCAATTATAATTTAGCATTTCTATTGCTTTCATTATGTTGGAAAAGGATTTATTATTTCTGTTTATCCTTTCCATTGACCCAAAAGAAAGTAAAAATCCTTTTCCTTTCTTTAAAAAAAATCTTGGCCTGGTGAGGTGGCTCATGCCTATAATCCCAGCACTTTGGGAGGTAGAGGCAGGTGGATCACCTGAGGTCAGGAGTGGCCCACCTGAGACCAGCCTGGCCAACATGGTGAAACTCCGTCTCTACTAAAAATGTAAAACATTAACCGGGCATGGTGGCAGGTACCTATAATCCCAGCTACTTGGGAGGCTGAGGCAAGAGAATCGCTTGAACCCAGAAGGCGGAGATTGCAGTGAACCGAGATTACACCATTGCACTCCAACCTGGGGGACAGAGCAAGACTCAGTCTAAAAAACAAACAAACAAAAAAAAAAAACTTTTCTATTAAAAAAAAAAGTTGTTATTCTTTTTTTATTAAGAAGGGGTCTCAAGGCCGGGCGCAGTGGCTCAAGCCTGTAATCCTAGCACTTTGGGAGGCCGAGGCGGGTGGATCACGAGGTCAAGAGATCG